GATTGTCTTCGTCAAAAGCATAAACAACTGACGGAGTTGTTAAACTGGTCTAGCGTCGAGTACATCTCCGCAATGGGAACAATTGTTGCCTCAAACAAGTGGTGGGAGCGAAAGATTAAGGTACCCATATTTTTTTTTACAATAGCAACATTTCCAATTGAAACTCCACGTCTTAGGTCTTTAGCTTAGATGTTCGTGTTGCACTATATCATACTTTCTATGTGCTATGTTGTGATTGTAGTTCGTGCTTTGCATTATTGTCGATCTCTCTATGTCTGCAATGATATTTTATCTTTGGAAGTGGACGCTATATTGTTAAATTGACTAAATTCAATTGAATGCTTCTATGTCTTGAAATTCTGAATGTGCAACCAACTCACATCACATTTATTCAAGTAAAATTACAGTTTGAGTGACAAGACTTTTTTTTATATCCTTCAGTTTGAAGATAGGTAATAAAGAAGTATGAAGTTGAGTGAATAATTCCCATTTTGGCAGAAGAGAGAACACTTTGTTGCAGCATGAAGGTTTTCTTTACTTTCATTTGTATATCTTGCAAGCACATTTATGGTTTGTCGGCATGACTTTTGAAGAGCTAGGATGTCTTTTTGAGGATAAGAAGTTGCTTTTGATCTATTTGGATGATTTTCCGAAATTTTTGTCTGATTAGAAGAGTTTAAGAGGAGGCCGACCCAAATTGGCTTGTTGAGGAAGTTGTTCTATTAAAAGGCAAGTTATCCCAAATAAGCTCTTAAAGTCTTTCTATCCATCTTGCTTTTGTCTTTCTCCTTCACGATTACCGCAGATTATCCGTGAAATCTTGTTTTACTCGTCTCTAATGTGCAAACATTAGCATTGCATCTCATGTTGATCAAAGGATGAACATTGACTGGAACTTGAAATTTCTCACATAAATGATGAACATGACATGAACTTGGCACTATAGCAACTTAGTCAAGGAATTAGCAATTGGATTCATGTTTTTACTCAACTTAAATTACGATGAACTTGTCTTTATTTGTCAATTTAAATTGTACTTCAACATATAAATTAATTTATTAGTTTGGCTATTATAATATTTTTCCTTGTCAAAAGAAGTGTTACATAAATCTGATTTCTTTATAAGTAATAGAAGAATATAATAACTGAAACTGTAAGGCAATAAAGTATTTCAAGAAGTGTGTCAAAATTATTCAAGTTATATGACTCAAACTGTAAAGTTCATATCTACTATTTGGAGCATCACTCCTCGAATTCTCAGCTCATCCATCCAAGGTCTCTCATATCAATAACTTTGATTCCTGAAATAATAGCTCTTATTTGAAAACGTTCATTATTGATTTGTGTCAAACTGCCCCTCTAATATTATTTTTCGATCATGATTGTTTTGCGATTTTTGCTTTACACATTTCATACTGGATACTTCTTTTTATATTTTGCATGTTGAAACAGGAGAACAAGGACTACAAAGAATACAAAGATAAAGACTGTAGAGTGGTATACAGCTACAAGGTGTTGTTCGGGGACGCCTTCGACGCAATAAGTATGTGGTCACACCATCGCAGATGTACCAAATAGGATTTGCCATGTTTGAAGATAGTGGTACAAAGACCTGAGCGACGCTCATCCTGACAGCGAGGAGAGGAGCGGGTCAAGTGATGAGGCGATAAAACTGGTCGAGCTGCAACCAGCATGGACGTCTCCAGGTCGCGAAGTGGAGACAAACGTCTGTCGGCAGCAAGAACATAAAGGAGAAGAGAGCAAACATAGGAGCCAGGGATTTGTCGTACTCTGTTAACCGCGCCGCCTCTTCCAGTTAACAAGTAGCTAAAAAAATCGACATTTTGGTAGGTCCTGCTGTGATTGATGCAAAGATACTCATGACAGAGTTGCTGGTGACGAGCAGACTACAGAAAAAAACTGACTTGTACTTTTGGATCTGCAAGTTCCTGAACAAAAGGGCTAACATGGAGATGCTTGACATTTAGGACGACACAGATAAGAAAATGGACTGGGTTGAGTGGAGCTGGCACGATGACAGGAGGTGACGACCGGAATAAGGATTGTAACGGATAAAAGAAAAAAAATAGTAGGGCCGATTTATGTGAACACTTCAGATGGTTTATAATATTTTTTTATTTGTCATAGCAGGATTTTACATGAAACCCATTTAGTCTGTACTCATAATATTTATATTCTGTACCCGTATCTGTACTTTGAATTTGGTGTCCATATTTTCAGTAACTTTTGTGATTGCATGCATAATGGTTCACTATTGTTGGATTACTTATTTTCCAAAGAATATTTCTACAGTCATGATGCCCTACAAGTAGACTTACAAAGTGTCAATAATCTTTTTTTAACTTTTTTCAGTGGTTCATGTCCTGCTATGAGGCCATTATTTGTACTGGTGACAGTTTTGAATGGAACACGGTCTATAAAAGGAAACATTCAACCAATCTCTTAAACAAAGAAAACATTGGAAGAGTTGTTGGAGTTTCCTCTTACTGCCCCTTCATCTCAAAGTGCGTAGGGCATTATCAGTAACATTACAAAGTGGAATGGCTCGTTCTCATTTTCATTGTGAGCTTATGCCATGCTCTGATGATGAAGTCAACATCGACAAAGAGGAAATTGTGCAACAACTCCAAGATGACATTGTGGAATGGTTTCGTTATTGTCGACAGGTAGAAAAAGACGTAACAACGTACTATCGTGAACAGAGAAGTCGAATGAGAAGGTTCCCATTTGAGAGAAACGGACACATGTTTACCCTGGATGCCATGAAATATAGTACCAAAAAGTGTTATGTAGAATTCCGGATATATTCCGCAATGCTATGAGCATTCACACATATACTTCGCGACAAATACCAACTACATAGTGGCCAGCATGTAGATGTGTATGAACAAGTTGTGATGTTTTTGTGCATATTAGCACATGGAAAAGGGTACAGGCAGGTTCGAACTCTATCCAATCATTCTTTGGAAAATGTTGGACACTACTTCAAGATTGTGCTGGGAGTCATCGTGGAAATTAGTGAACGTCTAATAAGACCTGATTCAAACTATAATCATGGTGCAGAGCATCACTTACCAAATATCAACAAGCATATGTTATTTCAATATCGCATAGGTGCGATTGACGGAACGAATGTCGAAGCTGTCATGCCGCTGGACGAACGAGTGAATTTTATCGGACACAAGGGCATCCCAATACAAAATGTTCTTGCAGTATGTGATTTCAATTTATGTTTCACATTTGTGCATGCATGGCAGACAGGGACCATGCACGATTCATGCATACTAGCACAGGCTATACATAGTTTTGAAATTGATTTTCCACATCCTGCCCCTAGAAAATATTATCAGTCGACTTTGGATTCGCCCATAGATCTGGGTACATGGCTCCGTATAATGGGTCAAATATATTGTATCATTTTCAGCAGTTCTACGACGATCAGACGGGTCGGAGACGAGACTTTCGAAACGCGCGTGAGAAATTCAACTTCTGGCATTCGTCTGTGGAAAAATCGATGGAAAATTCTCGATCGTATGCCAAGTAACAATTTCAAAGTGCAGATTGCCGTTGTCTTAGCTATTATGGGTATACACAACTTCCTTAGACGGGCCAGAGTTATCGACGAGGCGTTCGCAACTATGGAGATGGATTTGGACACTACGGAGGTAGAATTTCTAGATGAACAGGAAGAAGCCGCTGCTGAAATGAATGCACCAGAAATGCAACGTAATGAGTGAGATCATTTTCGAGATTACTTGGCTCAAAGTCAATAAGCGTGTGTTCGTATAACAACATCGTTATCGTACAATAATGTTGTCCATTTACCTTTCAAATTAATATTTCGTGTGTAAGAATCGTTGTAGTGCTTTGCGAATTGGAAAATGACAAAAATATGAGCAATTTATCTTGGACAATAATGGGCATGTTATCTTGATTCAATTTGTGTTGTGTTAGTGGGCCCATGCACCACATTTTCAAAGGATGCAAGTATTTGTGAAATGGTCAAAGGTGGCGATAATTTGACGTTAGAGAAAGTAGAAACTTTGCACATGTCATGGAGGATAAAATGGCCTTTTTTTGTTCCATTTCTCTACAAAACGTGCAAAGGAGGGCTGTCAGTGCGACCTTGTGATTTGACCCAAAAATTGATTTTGGTTTGAGAAAAGCATTCCCATACAATATTAAGTTCATCAAGTTCGTTTACTTTTAAAACTAGCGTGGCCGGTAAAATAATATTTTAATAAGTTTAGTGACAACTTGGAGAATCTTTAAAATTCAAAGGTAATCGAGAAATATTTAGAAAAGTTCAATTGTAAGTCATAGAACTTTAAAAGTTTAACGGCAATTGGAAAATGTTTGTAAGAGTTTAGTGATAATTCGAATATATGACTGAGTCCAATGATGTAGCATTAGTCAATTAGAAAACAAATTACTAGTCAAGAAGAAATTCCAAATTTTCAAGTGAGACACAAAATTCCATTCCATTAAGCCCGTGATTAAAGCTGGCCTAACACTTTCATTTTTCTTGAGGAATTAATGAACTCTGATGAATCCAAAATAT